CGGAGGCTTTGGCGATATTCCGGGGCAAGGTCAGCGTAACTGGGAGCCACCCTCGTCGGTGATATCCCCACCTGCTGCAGTACCGCTTGGCCAGCGTGCGTGAGTGAGAGCTGCTCGTATTGGGCAGTGAGGGTAGCTTCGATTAATTCGTTCACGGTGTTGGAGATGCCGAGAGCCATAAGCTTGTGAGTGGCTGTGGACATAGGAAGACCCAGGGCCGTCTTGTAAGCTTTGCGAAGTGACGCCTCTAGCCGTTCGCTTTCGGCACGAGTGAGACGTAGGTAAGGTGCAGAGTATGTGATGCGGGAGCAAATGAAGGTTTGAACGAGGCGCAGGAGGTTGGACTCTCGCATACCTCGGTGCTTGTTAGAAACTCGCTTAAGGAGGCGTCCGATCTGTACCACCGACTGGTTGATGCGTTGGAGCGAGATGTTGTTGCTGCCGTTGGCTTGTAGGTGTAATCCCAGGATTCTGATGTGATCCGTACGAGGAATGCCTTGGACCTTGGACCCGGAGGGTGAGTTCCGGAACTATCTTTGGTGGGCGTCGTCCCGGGGACGGGATGATTATATTTTCTGATTTAGTAGCCGAGCAGGTAAGGCCAACTGTATCGAGATAGTCTCCGATCCTATCGATGGCGGTCTGAAGGGTCTCTTCTATCTGGCCGTCACTGCCGCGCGTGATCCAAAGAGTGAGGTCGTCAGCATATAGGCTATGGTGTAGATGGGGAATGTCAACCAGTAGCTTGGGCAGGCCTATCAGTGCAACGTTAAAGAGCGTCGGCGAGAGCACGGAGCCCTGCGGCGTGCCACGGTTTCCCGGAGAAATGATGGAAGGATCTCCGGTGCCGGCGCTGAGTTGCACTGTGCGGCCGGTAAGAAAGTCTCGGACGTACGCGTAGGTGCGAGGTCCGACGCCAAGAGTTCGTAGTTGCTGAAGAATCGCTTCATGGAGGACGTTGTCGAAAGCCTTGGCTACATCGAGGCCGACAATGACTTTCGTGTCTAGTGTGCGGCGCATGACGACCTGGTGATGAAGAAGAAGCATAATGTCCGGGGCCGCTAAATGAGGGCGGAAGCCGAACATCGTGTCTGGTAGGAGGTGGCTGTCTTCGAGGTAGCGAAGGAGTCTGCTCTGAATGACGTGTTCCATCAGCTTCCCAACGCAGGATGTAAGAGAGATGGGACGAAGGTTGGCCAAGGTGGGTGGTTTGCCCGGCTTAGGGATGAGGACTAGATTGGCGCATTTCCATTCCTGCGGGATGGTACCGCTGTACCAGCACTCTTGAAGAACGTCGGTGAGGGCTTGAATAGAGGCGTCGTCTAGATTCCTCAGCATCTTATTAGAAATACGGTCGGGCACGGCCGCCGAAGTGGTCTTAAGGCGATTAAGTTCTGCTCGTACCTCATCTAGAGTCATTGGAGCGTCTAGACCGGGGTTGTCCGGGCCCTGATAGGAGGGGAGGGTAGTTGCCGGGCGGGGGCGGATGTAAGTGTCTATAATTTCTCGTTTGAGTTCCTCTGGCGTGTCAGGATACTGGTGGAAGATTCGCTCGAGCTGTTGGCGTGCTTGGAGTTTGCCTCCAGCCGGGTCGAGTAGATACCGGAGGAGTTTCCACGTGTTACGAGTGTTTGGAGTCTTGTTCATCTGGTCGCAAATGTTGTGCCAGCTCTGGCGAGTTAGTTCAATTGCGTAATTCTCGATGGTCGTGTTGGCGCGCGCCAGTCGACGGCGGATATTGCGGTCCCATTTCCGAGTGGCGAGGAGAGCTTCGAGTGATTTCCTACGCTCCCAAAGATGGGCATAGTGGCGGTCGCAGTGAGGGACCGTGTCCTCTAGCTCGACGGTTTGCGTGGCGTGAGCCACTTGTTTGACAATTCGGGTTGTCCATGCTTTGATGTCAGTAATGATGGGAGGTGTGTCCTGCTCTTGCCTATGCACCCTAAAGGAATCCCAGTCGATCACCTGAGCCGGCCGTGTACGTTGCCTCGTGGGCTCTTGTATCACAATTTCAAGTATGAAGTGGTCGCTTCCAAACTTTTCGTGGGTGTGGCACCAGGTAGCTTTGTCTCCGGAGCTCGTAAAGGCGAGATCCGGCGTCGTATCTCGGTGTAGGCCCGTACCAAGTCTAGTGGGGTAGGAGACGTCCGTGATGAGGGTAAGCTGGTGCGTATGCCAGTCATCCCAGAGCCGTCTGCCTTTAGCCGAGTCGTAGTGATAGCCCCAAGCGCGGTGGTGCGCGTTAAAATCACCGAGGATGAGGAGGGGTTGCCCCTGCGCTAGCTGCTGGGCTTTGAGGAAGAGGGGCCCGAAGACGTCTTTATGGGCCCGGGGAGGTCTGTATATATTAATCACAAACAGACTAGTGTGACGTTTGCGCGAAGGTCGAGGCAATATTTCTAAAAAAACGTGTTCGGGAAGAGTGGGATCTAATTTGTGGTGGAGAACAGTGAGGTTTCGTTTGACAAGAGTGGCTACTCGAGGCTTTTCTCGTTCTGATAAGTAGGTAGTGAAACCGGCGAGTTGCGTGTTCTTGCCACCTTCCTGGAGGACTATTAATTCAGGGCGATCGCGCGCGGTGAGGAACTGTTGGAGGACCGGACGCTTACGCGCAAACCCGCGACAGTTCCACTGCCAAATGGTGGTGTTACCCGACCTGATCGCCATGATTGAGCTTGGAAAGTTCTGGCGTTGGAGCGAGTGCCGGCGCAGAGGCCGCGGGTACAACGACAGCAAGGAGTTTGCCCTGCGCTTCTATAGCTTTCCTCAGGGTCTCGAGCTGTTGATTGACTTGTGAGCCGAGTGTGTAGAGTGAGCGATCGATTTTTTCTTCTAAAGATTTGATGCGAGTGTGGCTGAGTTCGCATCTTTCCTCGACTCTGGCGAAACGTGTCGGCAAATCCTCCACCGTGGAGTCGTTATCTGCCATGGCTTTGCGTTTGTGTGTGGGTCCGTTGGAGAGTGTGATCTCCATAGGTTGGGCCACAGTTGAAACCTGTGGAGCGGAAGGAGACGTAGTGAGTGTAGCGGTTGGTTTTTCGAGAGCCTCTACTCGGAGTATGAGTTGTTGGATGACTGCTGTCAGTTCCTTAATCGCTTTTTTTTGTGTCTGGAGTACTGGGAGTCCCTTCCTGCGTACTTACCGATTGTTGATGTTCTCGTTGGACTGGCGTTGATAGTGGTGGCTGGGGTGGCTGCAGCAGTTGAGGAGAGGCCCGAGTCTGCTGGACGCTTGCAGGTGGCTTGGGTCTGGTCCAGGAGGTATTTCGAGGCCCCCTCCATGTAGAGGGAGACTCGAGCGGTGGAAAAGAGCTCGATCGGTCCCGGGGCTGCCTCTGCTGGCTATCGGAGCGTTGCCGGTCCCATCGGCTGGTGTGCTGGAGCGTGACCCGCCTGTTGGGCTCTTGGGTCTTGAGTCTGTCTGCCTCGGCTCTTTGAGTGTGCTCCCACTGCCTGCGCTTGACCGTGTAAGGGGTCCTGAAGATTTCCTTGCAGCGACTATCGCCCGTGAGATGTTCCTTGCCACACAGGCGGCAGATTGGTTTGCACGTCTGGTCGTTTGGCGGATCGGATAGCAAGCAGCCTCTGCATTTGGTAGTTGGGCTAGCGCAGACGTCAGCTCGATGACCGAGCTCGCCACAGCGATAGCACACTTCGTACTTCTTCTTGAATAAGTTGCATCTGTGTCGACTGTTGCAGAAGTAGACCCAGGTCGGCACTTCGGGGTGAGCGAACGTGATGAGCACTGCGGTGGTGTTCCCCAGCCGCCGAAAGTCCATGATGGGTGGGTTGCGGTTGTCTTGTAACTCTGCTTGAATTGTATCTCGATCCAGGCGGAGGTCGACGCCGCGAATCACACCGCGACCCGAGCTATCGTCTGGAACGCAGTAGACTGAGACCTCATACGTCTTGTTGTCGACGACGATCGTTTTGAGTCGTAGGACCCGTTCAGCTCTTTCGACGACTGGGGTGCAGTACGCGAAGGTGTTTTGAAGCAGGTTAGCTTGTATTAGGTCTTCGTGGCGCACGGCGTCCCTGGTGAAATGAGCAGCCGTGCAGATCGCTTCAAGTAGTTGGTAGGTTGAAATCTTGGAAAGTTGCAGTCCGCCGCGTGGGCGCACGATCAGCTTGAGAGCGTCGCTGGGTAAGCGAGGCTGTTTCGAAGCTACAGAATTCTTGGCTAGTAAGCGTCCTCGCTGCCGAGGCGTGAGTTCGGTTTCCATCTTCCTCGCAGGTACACTCGAGGCCCTACCTTTGTTGATTTGGGACGGTTGGTCCGGTCCTGTTTTGTCTCCAGGAAAATCGGGTACGGCTGGCCCTGGTGTTGTTCGCGCTTCCCGGAGCTTGTTAACTTTAGTCAACCATTCACTGGCTGCTAATTCTTCCCGAGAAATGGGGATGCCTTCTACGGCGACCCTCATGGTGAACTACGGCGCGCGGGCTCGGTCGACGGCGCGGCGCAGCTGGCGAATGCAGCTGCGGCTCGGAGCCTTCGGCGGAGCGCGGTAGGCCTAGCGAGACATCCGGCGTGCTGGCGGGGAAGAGTTGACCGAAAATGGTCAAAAACTTGCCGTACGTACTTCTGGTTGGTGTCTCTGGATTCATCTCGTTGATAGGAAGCCGATGATTTCGATGACAGTACTCTAGGATCCCAATATGCGGGGTGAAGGCACGAAATCAGCGGAGCCCAAGTGAATTGCGTCCGTTGTCGCTCGCGCTCGCAGCGCCCCCTAACCTACTCGGCCCACCCGTTAACGCCGCTTCGCAATGACAGTCGGGGGCGGCTCATTACAGAAAAAAAAGCTAATCCGAGCTGTCGGTAAAACGATCTATTGATGAAACAATGCTCGACGATCAAACGACTTGTCCACGATCGAAACGTTGATTTATGAACTAATGGCCTCTGCCAACAGGAAGCGACTGCCGGTAGAGTTTTGGGGAAATTATTATATTTAATTCCGGAAGAATAGACACTTTCTTTTAACATCGTACACTAAGAATCAAGCCAATTGCCCGCTTTGACATTTAGAACCCATACTCACTTCATCCTCGCCTTTCAGTTCCAATTCGCAGTACTCGCAAGCAAGTTTCTTTTAGAGCGCAGCTCTTAGGGGCCCGTTCCCGGCTTGAGCGGCGTCGCCGTCGGCGTCGGCGTAACCAAGGTCATCCCAAGGTCACGTGACCCCCCAAGGTCACGTGACCCCTCCCAAGGTCATCTCAAGGTCACGTGACCCCACGTGACCCCCTGAAGGTCACGTGACCCCTCGAGGTCACGTGACCCCTTCCAAGGTCATCTCAAGGTCACGTGACCCCAACATGACCCCACGTGACCCTTTGAAGGTCACGTGACCCCCAAGTCACGTGACCCCTCTGAGGTCACGTGACCCCCGAGGTCACGTGGTCGCCTCCCCAAGGTCACGTGACCCCCGAGGTCACGTGACCCCCAAGGTCACGTGACCCCTTCCAAGGTCATCTCAAGGTCACGTGACCCCTTCCAAGGTCATCTCAAGGTCACGTGACCCCACGTGACCCCCAGGTCACGTGACCCCTCTGAGGTCACGTGACCCCCGAGGTCACGTGACCCCTCCAGGTCACGTGACCCCCAAGGTCACGTGGGGGTCACCTTTGGGGTCACGTGGCCTTGAGGTCACCCCCAGGTCACGCCTCCCCGAGGTCACGTGACCCCCTCCCCGAAGTCACGTGACACCCCCCCCCGGAGCATATTAAAGAATGAGGGGAGGAGGAGGAGAAGGGGGAGGGGTCTACCCTCCCCTCAGTACCCTTCACTCCTCCTCCTCAAGAGCTGCGCTCCAATTCGGCGTTACAGGGATTTGTAAACGGCTTCCACTTTTTTTTCACACTGCTCCCTGTGCTCCTGTAATTAAATATATACATCAGGTTATCAAGAAGAATATAAGGTATCAACTACAATCATCAACGTCACCTTGTCTATAAAACAAAACGAAGATCTTCTAGCACTACCAGTTCATCTTAATTTCTTGTCTACAAACTTAACTTTAAGATACGGCGGTCAAGGCACCGATTTGTTGTTGAACTAAATATTTTCGTTTTATTTACTTCATTGTTGCTTTGAAGCAAAGTTACATTGCTGCTACCTTTATGATATCAACACAGACGGACGAACATTGGATTCTTAAATAAATATTTGTATCATTTGAAAAGGCTCTACATAATAGAAATTGTAAATATTTCGAGCAAGCAGTTATTACTTTCATGTCCTTTTACTTGTTTAGAAGTGTGTAATATATTAGTAAGCCTCATCATTCGATTCCAATAACATAACATATATTATAACGAATGACGCCTCTATATTAAAAGCTTCTTTTGCCAACAGAATTTGTTTTTCGGAGAGCAAGTACTCGCTAAAATTGATTCGAGACTATAATGTGTCAACATTTCATTACGCCATCATTTACTAGGCTGTAAGAAAAGATAGGTTGCTCGGTCTTACTACAACAATAAATGGGAAACTAAAATATTTTTTCAGGTGTATGAAGTATCTGTGGTTAATATTTTAGACTCAAGCGCGAATGTAACAAGTTAGAGACGGCAATTAAATATTCCGCCATCCTTCACGCTCCAGCTGAATTTTTTTATTTTTTAACTAAATATATATTTTATCTTTTATATGTAAACCGTTGTCTTTTGTATAGCTTACGCCGCAGCATATAAACATTTAAAGAAAGCCAAAGATTACAATAAGTGCCACTTCTTGAACTCAAATGAAACCATCCAACCATATTGTGTTATGACAGCTTTTTGTCTGTATTTCATACCGTGATCTCACTCTTTCCTTTTTGACGCATTGTAGGAATTGTGGTGTCTAGTATCAGCGACCACACAATTAATAAACCCCCATTATATTGTCACCAATTAAGGCGACGAGAAAGCAAAGAGTAAACTGAAAATAAAGGTTTAATGGGCGAACTTGTGCCAAACAAAAATAAGTAACGGAAGAGCGTCGAGGCAGCAGAAAAGCGGGCGGCGATTCGGCGGCACTACAGAGCGCTAGCGAGACTGAGACTGACTCGACAAGGTCGCGGGAGCTGCTTATCTACCCTGCGTCACTATCTCGAAAGTTCGGCAAAGAAGGTTCGAGCGTCGCGCGCTCGGGGCGAGGATGAACTGGCACTTTCGAGAATAACAAGGCAGAGGGAAAGTTACGTCTGCTGCGAGAATGACCGGGAATCTTCTAGAAGACCGTGACCAAGCGTTGCCTTCTCGGCTCTGCGGGCGGCATTATCCCCCTTTTAAAAGTGCATCGCCCCGATGCAAAACGAAAGGAAAACGCAAATGGCTAAAACAATTACGGCGAAACAAAACAAACATCCAGTGTCACAATCCTAACGCCCGTAGAACGGCTTGAGTCGAACTACGTGGACGACTTCGGGTCGAGGCAGGCGGCGTCCTGATGGTCGAGTTCCGTCGGGGAGCACCTCGTAGTTCAAGTCCCCAAGACGGCGGATGACCTTGTAGGGTCCGAAGTAGCGCTTTAACAGTTTCTCGCTGAGGCCGCGGCGGCGAATGGGCGTCCACACCCATACCCTGTCTCCGGGCTGGAACTCCACGTCGCGGCGGCGGAGGTTGTAGCGGCCTGCGTCGACACGTTGCTGGTTCTTTATTCGAAGACGGGCTAGCTGTCGTACTTCTTCTGCTCGTTGGGTGACCAGCTGGGCGTCGTCGGTGCCGTCGTCCGTTGGATCGTGGGGCAGCATGGCGTCGAGCATCGTCGTCACCTTTCTGCCGTGCACCAGCTGAAAGGGTGTAATGCCGGTAGTTTCTTGAATCGCCGTGTTGTACGCAAACGTGACGTAGGGCAGCACTTCATCCCACGTCTTGTGTTCCACGTCAACGTACATAGAAATCATGTCGGCGATGGTCTTGTTTAGTCGCTCCGTCAACCCGTTGGTCTGCGGGTGGTATGCCGTGGTCCGGCGGTGGTCGGTGTGGCTCAGGCGGAGTATCTCTTGTGTCAGTTGCGCCATGAACGAGGATCCTCGGTCCGTAATCAAGACTTGGGGAGCGCCGTGTCGGAGGACGATAGACTCCACGAAGAATTTGGCTACTTCCACGGCGGTCCCCGACGGGAGTGCTTTTGTCTCGGCGTACCTGGTGAGATAATCAGTTGCCCCGATTATCCACCGGTTTCCCTGCGCCGACGGTGGGAAAGGTCCGAGAAGACCCATTCCAACCTGCTGGAATGGTGCAGTCGGGGGCGCGATCGGTTGCAAGAGACCTGCCAGCTTCGTCGGTGGTTTCTTACGTCGTTGGCATTCGTGGCACGAACGGACGTAGAGGTGGACAGTCTTCGGAAGCTTGGGCCAGTAGTATTTTTCTCGGATCCGTGCAAGAGTCCTACTGTAGCCAAGGTGACCAGATGTTGGGTCGTCGTGGCAGGCTTGGAAGATCTCTTCTCGAAGACTAGCAGGAATCACTAGCAGCCACGTCGAGTTGTTGTCCCCGAAATTTTCTTTATAGAGGATACCTCTCCGGACGGCGAATCGTGGCAGGTCACGTGAGAAGGCTCGGGGAATCGTACCCCCTCGTCCCTCCAAGTGGTCGATCAATGCACGCAGCTCAGGATCGTCCCGCTGGAGCGCTGCCATGCCGTGAATGCTCACCGCGCCAAGAAAGTGGTCGTCGTCGTCGTCGTCGTCGTCTTTGGCACATCCGGCAGCTGACTCGACAGGGGCTCTGGACAGGCAGTCGGCGTCGCTGTGTTTTCGGCCTGACTTGTAGACCACGGTTACGTCGTACTCTTGCAGTCGTAGGCTCCATCGAGCGAGGCGTCCCGATGGTTCCTTCAGGCTCGCTAACCAACACAGCGAATGGTGGTCGGTGACCACCCGAAAAGGAGTCCCGTACAGGTATGGGCGGAATTTCGTGATAGCCCAGACGACGGCCAGACATTCCTTCTCGGTCGTCGAGTAATTGCGTTCCGCGTTCGACAGCGTCCGGCTAGCGTATGCGATCACGCGCTCCGCACCGTCTTGTCGTTGGACCAGTACCGCTCCGAGTCCTGTATTACTGGCGTCCGTGTGGACCTCCGTTTCGGCTGATTGGTCGAAGTGGCCGAGAATAGGTGGTGACTGGAGCCGTCGCTTTAGTTCGTCGAATGCCTGTTGTTGTTCTTCACCCCAGTCGAAGTTCACGGCGTCTTTCGTAAGGTGCGTTAGCGGCGCAGAAAGCTTGGCGAAATCCTGAACGAATCGCCGGTAGTATGCGCAAAGCCCAAGGAATCTTCGGACGGCAGTTTTGTCGGTGGGCGGTGGAAAGGCCGCTACGGCGCGAGTCTTCTCAGGGTCAGGACTTACACCTTCGTTGCTCACCACGTGGCCCAGGAACTTCAGTTCGCCGTAGGCAAACCGGCACTTCTTCGGCTTGAGGGTGAGTCCTGCGGTCCTGATTGCCTCTAAAACGGCCCGAAGGCGTCGCAAATGCTCGTCGAAGTTGGCCGAGAATACCACGACGTCATCGAGGTAAACGAGACAGCTCTGCCACTTGAGGCCTGCCAGGACGGTGTCCATGACACGTTGGAACGTTGCCGGCGCCGTGCACAGTCCGAAGGGCATCACCTTGAACTCAAACAGTCCGTCGGGCGTGACGAAGGCAGTCTTTTCTCGGTCCCGTTCGTCGACTTCGATCTGCCAGTAGCCACTCCTAAGGTCCATCGACGAAAAGTATCGGGAGTGGCGCAGCCGGTCCAGCGTGTCGTCGATGCGGGGGAGCGGATACACATCTTTCTTCGTGACCGCGTTGAGCCGCCGGTAGTCAACGCAGAATCGAAGCGTTCCGTCTTTCTTCTTTACCAGCACAACCGGAGAGGCCCACGGGCTGCTCGAAGGCTGAATGATGTCGTCGTTGAGCATCTCCTGTACTTGTTCATGAATGGCCTCTCGTTCCTTTGGGGAGACCCGGTACGGCGGCCGATGCACAGGGAGCGCGTCCTCGTTGGTAATGATGCGGTGTTTCGCAACTGTTGTCTGGCGCACCCTCGACGTCGTCGCAAAGCAGTCGCCGAACTCGGCGAGGAGGTCTCCGAGCTGTCGTCGTTCCGTGGCGCTGAGCTTGGGGCTAACGTCAAGCTGTTGCGGCACTGTACTGGACGGCTGACATGGCGAGGGCTCTTCGGAGATCGCGGCGATTTCGGCGTCGGCCAGGAGTTCCTCGACGTGTCCTATAGTGGCACCTTTCGTGAGATGCTGCGCCTCCGGTCGAAAGTTCGTCGCGAGGACCACACAACGTCCATCCTGCAGCTCTGCTACGCCCCTTGCGACGCCTATTCCTCTTCCGAGAAGCAGTTGGACCTTGCCTTCCAGAAGGACTTTCCCGCTGGCAACTGCGTCGGTAACGACGGGCACAAGAACACTCGACCGTGGCGGCAGGTTCACGTGGTCCGCAATGACTCGGACGGCGGCTGGCGACGTTTTGGATTCCTCCGGAGGTAGCACGGGCTTTCGCAGCGTCAACCTGTTTGCTCCAAGGTCGATCACGGCACCGTACTCACAAAGGAAGTCCATGCCAAGGATGACGTCTCTCGAACAGTCTTTGAGGACTACGAATTTGACGGGGCAAGACTCTCCGTAGATGTTGTGGTTCTCCTTGGGGCCACTGCCTTTGGGAGTACCACGTTCGCGGCGAGACGCTCTACCGCGAAGCGGGTTCGTACTCGCGTGGCATGCTGCTCGTTGAGCGCAAACAGACACCAGTCACGTTGGTAACGGTGATAAACTGTTTATTTACAATGAAACAAAATAACAACAACACAACGGCTATAAGCTGGTGAACGCCGTCGGTGTGGAGATCGCCCACGGCCGAACGGTCGTTCACAAAGGTACAAAGTACGGGGTAAACGCTCACCGGTGCGCCGGAAGGGTCCCCGTTGTCGCCGCCGCCGAATCCCAGGAAGAAGAGGAGCAGCGACACTGCTGTCCGCTGGTTTTAAGATAACGGCGGGGCGAAGTGGCCAATCAAGGAGCGACACGTCGATCTCCTTTGTGCGGGGGTTCGTTACGGAAATCGCCCCAAGGGGGGAGAGGAGGAAGCCACTCACAGTGGTAAGCAGCGCCGCCTCTCGCTACGCCAGCGCGGCCGCCACGGCGCGCCAAAACGCTGACGCGACAGAATGTTGAGGGATCACAATCCCCACAATGTCCACGCGCGCAGTACACCTTCCCACTGGTGTGATGAGATGTCCGCCGGCGGTTCGTATTTTCGGGCCATCCCACGGCGTCATCACTTTCCGAAGGCGGCGAGAGAGCTTCCCACTTAAAACGGAATAGTCTGCTCCGGTGTCGACGAGTGCCTTCGCGTCGTGGCCGTCGATGGTAACGTCGAGGTTATTCGACACCGTCACAGAAGCGTCATTCCTATCCGTTTTGTCGCTAGTGTGGGAGCCCTCCGACGTTTGTGGAGGATATTGGCGTCGTTCGTCACCGGCAATACCACCTCCCGGTATTGCCGCACTCAGTTTTCCCGGCGAGGCAAGGGGGACAGGCTTTCTCGGCGGGACCGGCGGAAGGGCGATGGCGAGCGTCGGGGAGATGGTGAACGGAATCCTCGGCGGCGAGACGACTCAGGAGATGAAGAGCGGCGGAGGTAGTCTTCGATGTCCCGAGGTCGCTCTCCAAGACGTGGTCGAGGGTCGTTGGGCGCAAACCCTCGTAAGCCCAGCTGTCGGTAGGGGCATCGTCGGTAGATGTGGTCTGCTTCACCACAGTGGTAGCACAGGGGGCGTCGATCAGCCGTCCGCCACACGTCAGTCTTCCTGGGCGCCGGTTGTTCTTGCCGGACGCACTGAGGTCGGTCGTCGAGACGTCGGAGGTACGGCGGTGCTGGTGTGTCTCGTCGTTGCGGCGCAGGAGGTTGACGGGCAGGAACTGGCGGTCGTCGAGCCATGGCGGCGTAGCTCACCGTTGGTTGTTCCGGTGGTGGCAGGTCGACGGGAGCCTCCTGCTGGAAGGCTCGCTGCACCTCCTCCCGCACTACTTCCGCCATAGAAAGCGAGGCAGGGCGATCGGCAGTGGGCAGAACCTTCCTGATTTCTTCTCGAACGACGTCGCGGATTATCTGCCGCAGGTGTTCGATGCCGATACTATTGACATCGGAGCGAGGTGGTGAGACAGCCGGAATCGTTGACACACCGGTGCGTCGTTGATAGTGCACAGCTCTGGCCAACAGCGCTCGCTCGATGTTGGTTGCCTCGGCCACGAAGCCATCTACCGTCGTCGGGGGGCTGCGGACAAGGCCACCGAAGATTTCACTCTTGACGCCCCTCATGAGGAAGCGCAACTTCTTCTCCTCGGTGGCTTGAGGGTCGGCGCGTGTACAGAGTCGTAGCACGTCTTCAACGTAGCTTGTCACGCTTTCGTCGGGGGCTTGTGTCCGCGTCTGGAGCAGGTCCTCCGCATTCTGTCGCCGGTGTTGGTTCGAGAATGTTCGCCTCAACTCGGCATCGCAGATATCCCACGATGTAAGCGAAGCCTCGTGGTTTTCGAACCAGTGCCTCGCGGTGCCTTCCAGCGAGAAGTAGAGGTTCTGGAGGCGCTGCTCGGCGTTCCATCCGTTTTGGCGGGCGACGCGCTCATAGTGAAGGATCCAGTCCTCGACGTCTTCATAGATTTCGCCATGGAAAGTTGTCGGCGATCGGGGGGTGACGGGCAGGACGACGACGGGCGGAGCGGTCATCGTCGCGGTCTTCTTCTTTGATTTCCGCGGCGGGGGTCCGAGTTCAGGAGCTTGCCCTTGAAGACGGCGGCTGGCACGATGCTCTGAGTCTTCAACGGAAGGTCGTTGGGAAATGGGGCTTGTTGACCGAGTTCTTCTAGGGGTACGCTGCACGGGTTTTGTACCCCGCACCTCCACCAGAAATGTCACGAATTAAGGCGACGAGAAAGCAAAGAGTAAACTGAAAATAAAGGTTTAATGGGTGAACTTGTGCCAAACAAAAATAAGTAACGGAAGAGCGTCGAGGCAGCAGAAAAGCGGGCGGCGATTCGGCGGCACTACAGAGCGCTAGCGAGACTGAGACTGACTCGACAAGGTCGCGGGAGCTGCTTATCTACCCTGCGTCACTATCTCGAAAGTTCGGCAAAGAAGGTTCGAGCGTCGCGCGCTCGGGGCGAGGATGAACTGGCACTTTCGAGAATAACAAGGCAGAGGGAAAGTTACGTCTGCTGCGAGAATGACCGGGAATCTTCTAGAAGACCGTGACCAAGCGTTGCCTTCTCGGCTCTGCGGGCGGCAATATCGCCTTCACTTTAGAATCGGTAAAGGTTTAAACAAAGGTGAACCTTAATAAATAAAATCAAAGATATATAAACATACATTAAGTTCTATTTCAAGTATACACCTTTGCAAAAATAGTCTTCTGCGCGCTGCCATCTTTGTCCGCTGGGCTGTGGAACGCCTTCTGAGCATGCGCTGTTGGTCTGGCGTGTGGTACATCGAACGTTGCGCATGCGTCCACAGCTCAGTGATTCAGCATTTTTCGCTCGTGTGATGAGCGATGGAAAGGTCTATAGATAGTTCTCTGGTTATTAGCAGTCCTTTTCTGTCACAGCGAAACCCTCACGGGCCTCGCTGTGACCTCCGGGGACCTCTCGGGGAGAGTTAGGCGAACACACGCTTATCCCGCACGGGAGTTCACCATGCATGCCACGCCAACACTCCTGGTTGACGTGGTGGGGAAGGGAGGTCTCGTTCGGACAGTCCACTTGCGTGGAGGCCTCGGGGCCCCGCCATGCGCATGCCGGCTCGAGCGCGTACTTGGCTGGTGGCGGCGGCACGTAGTTCCGCTCGGCATGAAGAGCTTCGTCGATGAGGCGGGCGCCCCGGGCTAGCTCTTCAAGGGTCTCAAAGGTGCGGTTGATCAGGTAGACGTGGTACCTGGGGTGACACTGTCTTCTGACCCGAGCTAATCTGTCCGATTCCGGTGACTTCGGGTCCGCCCTCTTGAAGAGCTCCTGCATGGCCCGAACGTACCGGGCCAGACTTTCATCCGGGTGCTGCGTCGCGTAAGCATTCCTGCAAGCACAAAAAAAAAGAAACGCCCCCAAAAACCCAACACAAGCGCGCAAAACAATTGCCGCCAGTCCCAAAGACACATTCACAAACACGCCAATACAGCAAACGTGGACGTGACGGAAGTACGAAACAACGATAGGAAACACGGGGAATATGAAAAAGGCTTACCGAAAGAAGAAACCAAGCCCCGTGAAATTCCTGCGAGTGGGTAGCATACCACGGTTGGGCGCCATTGTGGTCGGTTTGCCTTGCTGCATACCCGACCCGGAGGAATAACACGGAGCCAACGGTTTCAACAACAAGAAACTACATTTAATGGGACATGGACGAGACGATTAACATGGTTACCAGCGGCGCCTGAGTCCAGGCAGCGACCCCCCGTGCGCCGCCTCTGATCTGCCTTATCAAGGCGGCGCATCCGATGTGCGCGTGGCTGGCGTGACGTCGCCGCCACGCGGGAAAAGTTCGGCTTGAGCCTCGCAGTCGGGCAACTTGGCTTGGGAGCCGCCAGGGTGCCCACAACTTTGCATTAGCACCTTTTCGGTACCAACCACGTGACTATGACAATGTGTACGAAAACCTACCACGCACAACTATGCGGTACATGGAACGCGCCTCCGACTGGAGTGCTTCCCGCGTCCTAAAAAGTAGTGTGTCCACTTCCGCCTGATGACGTCACAGAAGTGTCATGTTGTCGCCGGGCGCGATCCTGGCGGCGTCATAGCAGAGCTTTTGAACCTGGCAGACGCCTGTTCTGCTGCAGGTTGCTTTCCACCTTGGCTGTGGCACGAAAGCTTTAGCAGCCAAGAGTTGCATTTCCACGACGCCAGCGACACTCGCCTTCACCCGTACTTTTGTCGTGACTTGTAGCACCAAACACCAGCATCGCGACATCCAATAACAAGACAATTTGACTTTTGTGACGTCATTTGTTACTTCTTCGGGAGCGCTTTGGATGTCAAGGCGGGATAGGACCCTAAACACACCAGTCCAAGATGCTTTCCAAGGTACCGCAGTACAACCAATCGCGAGTTTATTCCTCACCTTTTCTAAAGAGTAGGCGTACACTCCTTCACAGTTCTCGCAGCGCACAAGAGGCATTGGACACTCGAAGGCATGCTTGAACTTCTCCTTCCGTAGTACCTCACCCTCACATTCGTCGCAAACCACTGGTTTCTCAAGGCATTCCTGGTCATGATCCTTCAAATGGTAATAAAAGTATAAAACATGCTAAGTACTGCGTGCACTATTTTCCCATATATGTCGGAGTACGGTTAGAAACTATACATAAAATCGCCCTATTAATGGCAAAGCCGTCTAGACTATATTTGCCTTTAGTAGCATAGTTCATCATCACGCGCCTTGTATTCGTCTTTCGAAATTACAGCCAATATCTGTTGTCTAATTATTGTTACAATGTTTTTTTTTTTTTCATTTATATACTCGTATGCAACGAGGCATTTTGCTTTGGTAATGTAATGTATTCGGTAGTAATAGAACCGATCACAAGATGTTTTGATACGAAACCAAGCTCGATTCAGTTTTTAATGTCTTTTTCCTTGGTTGTATTTTTCAAACATAGGTATTTTCGCTGGTGGGCTGGTATAAATGTTTTATGGGCACGAAAAACAAGGAACAAATTACAAGATAGAAATAGTATCAGCGAATATATTTTGACCTTATCGGTCTATTCGAGATAAGATATCAAACTATACCCATCAACAGTGCTCTCCAAAATGCAAACGTATTCAATACTAGGTAGTGCATATACATATACGGTTATCTAAAACATTGCCTTTGATTAAAAATGCCGTCAGCAACTTCCACTGTGCGCAAATATTGATTGAAGCAAAAAATATTAATGTTGAACAAGTCAGCATCACGAACTAAGAACTGTAGGTATACTCCGAATAAAACGTATGCATGTCCCACACCTGGACAATATGCAGGGTGCTTAATTTTATTTCAAACTATTTTCTGTAAAAAGGGTGTGAGGGTCGCATGGTTGCCGTATCAGCACATATTTCTCGTGCCCGACGAACATTATTTGACGGAATACAAGTCGCTGTGAGTCGGCTAAACATCTGCTGATTATATTTTTCAATGTTGTTTCTGTGGGGCACGCTGCAATTGCGCTATTGTTGGCAATTACTATTAGGGGCCACACCAATTGAAAATGTTTGCTAACAGGCAATGGCTTCTGGAGTCGATACTCTGATTAGTTGTCGTGACCTCTCGCCCGATTTTTAGATCGCGCCTAAAAAGAGCGCCCGAAGCTCTGCTCACATTGACGCTGAGAAGAGTAACGTATTCATCACAATTACGTTGTCACTGGGGTTATTCTTTTTTTACTTGCACCAGCCTGCACCACTGCAGAAAAGTGCGAGTTAATGTACTTCCTTTGTTTTCAGATAGGCTGCACCCTTAATTTGAATACGGCAGTCTGGACAAGCTGGCGCAGGTAAATCGCACGAGGCCACTATATCAGTGACGTGTCTTTGAAGAAGGGGCAGACAACACATTGTTGAAATACTAAGAACCTGACTCATGACTACGTCACTCGTCTGAGCGCCATTGTAAGCTAAGCATCGGTTGCTTTTTTTCTTTTTTCTGTGTGTGGAATTTTGAATCATTTTGTTTTTTGCCTTTTCTTCTTAGCATTATCGGGATCTTTTCTTCGTCAAAATATAAATGAAAGAGAAATAAAAAATTAAAAAAAAACCTCGGGGCTTAAGAGATACTGTGGGTATTATTTTAAGAAACAGCAGCGCAAGAGAGACAGCAAGTACTGAAACTCTTTCCGCGTCTTAAAAACAACTTACGCTAAGTTCATCATAAGACATCGCACTTTTACAGGCGTCACAAAGAACTACTCGCTTCTGGCACTCCTCTTCTTGATGATTTTGTATTTTTTGATTGACAACGTTGGCACCGCAGTCGGAACACTTCCTTTCGATCTTCGGACACTCAGACTTGTGTTTCTGTGAAAAGGCATACACTTGTGCTTACGATGGTGATGACCATTAAAAATAGGAAATAAAAACCAGCGTGGGTCGCAAACTGCAAAGAGACAAAAATATAATCATAGCACCTTTGTTTACCATAGAAGAAATACCTGCTGTTTCTACTAATACTTTCAGAACTCCCTATAAATAGGCTCGTTAAAAAAACGCGTCGGAAAGAAACTGACAGGCGGAGATGGAGGTTGCAAGACACACAAATTAGCCAAATAATTACAAAATATTTACCTTTTACTGTTCTAATTAATAAAAATAAAGCAAGCTTAAATTATGAACTTGCTGATCGTCGTCAAACCCCCTTAATAAGTTAATGTTAGCAAAACTTGAAGCGCGTGAGAAGCGCGGAAAAATGCTAAAGGTACCATTGTTGGAGCAAACGGAAGGCTGGAAAAGCGAAAACCTGGATTATTATTGGATCTACTGCGTTTTCGCATCCCCAGCCTTCCGCCTGCTGCCCTAGTGGAAACTTCAGTGCACTTTCCCGCTTCAACCGGCTACAAATCTTCCTAAATTAATAAACTTATTTGAACCATCTGTATATTTTGACTAATTTTAATGCTAATTAAATTTTACGTAAACATTTTGGTAAATAAGTAGTGGGTTTTTGCAATAATCCTGACGTCCGCCGTGGGGGACAGTTTGTTCCCTAAGATAGTTTCTTTCTTTTCCTTCCATTTCGCCCTATTTCAACGAACTCCCGTGACGAACTCCCGTGATGAACTCCCGTGATGAAAATAGAATGAACCCGCAACGACAGCAACAGAGTTTTAAACATGCCGTTTATCGTACAAGGGAAAACTTGAATTCCTGTGAGGTGTTGTGCAATGCAGAGGGTAAGCTCGTCTAGTTCTTGCACAGGTGTCGCGGTGATGTCAGAATTTCGAGCTCTTATTGGCTGATTGAATATAATAGTGCGAAAACCTCGAGGCATCTAGCATTGAGGTCTACCCACTATCCTTTCATTCAAGGCCAATCAGAACCGGGCGTCTTGCTGACGTCACCGCAACCCCTGCGCGAGATGCAGACGACTTGCTCTCCGTATAGTCATGAGTCAGGGGGCGTCCGGTACCTGATGAATGCCACTGATCAATCCGAAATTTAGGCGACTTCTCTTTTATAAAGACATTTACACGGTGACTTCTCATTACTCGAAACCCCAAACAACGGGTTCACAACATTTTGTTATGTGTTATTGGCTTGTACATTATATGGGCTTAAGCAAAAACATTTAAACAACATATCATAATACATTTTTCCAGTGCATTCGTTGTGGCTTACAGTATTGTATTATATCCCGTGAGGGGTTTCAAGTAATTCTAGACGAAAACATTCACGTAAAAGTAGCACAAAAAGAAGTACAGCGGTGGATTTCTCTTTACGTATACAGGTGGAGAAGCATTTCATTACTACATGCTTATATCAGTCTCATTTTGCAAACGCTATGCAATGTAGAATTTGTAATTATAGTCAGCAAGAATTTATTATTTATGGAAGTAGTAAATTGTTTATATGCGAATAAGCTATTCGCAAACATTTTCATTAGAAGCTAATAGATTATAAAAATATGTTGCAACAAATGATGCCCATGCGTTGAAAGCTTCCAGTACCAACAGGGCGTGCTTTTGCAGAACGACCACTAGCCTAACTTTATTAGACTATAATTTCTCAATATTGCATTAATCCTCCGCGAGAAAATATTGGTGCTCGTTTTTACTAGAAGTAGGTGCGAGAATTAAAAGTAAACTATCGAGAAACATGATACTTTTACTCGAGCTCGAATCTAACATGTTACAGACGAAAATCATTACAATTCCGACGTACTTTCTCCTCATTTAGAAATTCACTTTAAAACTAAATATGTCTCAAGATTCAGATATTAAGCCTTGTTTTTACTTTGGTATATGCCGAAACACAAAACCAATAGTAAAGATAAACAATTTAAAATGTACTCCACTGTCTGACCTCAAATGAAACCACCCAGCCATTTTGTGTTCTAATAGCTTGGTTTTCTGTATTTCAGCGCTTAAAATCATAGAGTTATTATAATGTACGCTAGAGGTTTAAATGGCGCTCGTGTGTAGTTTCAGAATAAGTACAGAGTTTAAAAAGGGGTGTATACCTTATTAAATAAAACCAAGAAATATATAAATTTATATTAATTTTAATTTCAACTATAATGATAGTATCTGGCCTTGGGTAGCCCTTTTCTTTATCTTACATTAGCGCCTTTCTGGAACAAGTGACATGACTATGACTGTGTTTGAAGCAGTTCAATAGGTACAACTACGGTGCAAATGGAACGCGTCTTCGACTGGTCTGCTCAAAACGTCCTAAAAAGTGGTGAGTCTCAGAGGTGTCATGTTGTCGCCGTACGCGATTCTGGCTGAGTCACAGCAGAGGTGATGAATGTGGCAGACGCCTGTTCTACTGCCGGCAGGTCCCTCTCGAGCTTGACAGGCAACAGAAGTTTTAGCACCCAGGAGTGGGAACTCCGCGACGACAGCGGCACTTGAGTTCGCTCGTACGTTTTGCCGTAACTTCCAGAACCAACCGCAAGGGTCGCGAAATCCGATAACATAAAAATGTGGCTTTTGTGACGTCATTCTAGTGGTCCCTTCGGGACCACTAGAATAATTTTACGTCCCACACACTGTAGTCGTCTACAGAGCACATATCCGAACATTGTTACTTAATTATTAGTTGCAAGTGCACTTTGTTTTTACTCATAAAAAACACAGTGTTATGTTTCAGTGATATGTAATGATTAGATATAAAATTTATTCCAAATATATTTAGAAAGGAGGAAACAATAGTTCCAACATGCTAATAGCTCGTATTTTCTGTTTGTTTTATTCATTAAGCATCAGTAGTTTTCCTGGTGACTGGCATACATTGGCTAGGAAAGTTTAAAAGAAAAGTGAACTATAAAAAGATTTAGCAATATTATTGAGCACTTTCTCTTGATCTTCTCAGTAACCAAAGGGAAGGCATCATTGTACCCATCAGCAGTACTCTTCGAAGTGTAAACTTCTTTAAAATTTGGCAGTATCTTGAAATATTGAACAGCGTTTTTCATTAACGATTAGGGCTGTGCAAATATTCGTTATTTTCGAATAACGAATCGAATATTACCCTATTCGATTTGTTAATCGAATCGAATAATATTTTTCAAAAGTTTCAAATATTTTTTTAATAATTTCCGAATAGTCGTTACAGTGCCGCGCCGCGAGATTCCCTTCACAGGCGTCCCACAGCGCTCCGGTACGCCTGCCATACGTACCCGCAAGATGGCAATACGTAGCCTCTTCTCCTAGAGAATGATTAATATCCTCGGCAGCAGCAGTTTCTCTCTATACGTACGTTGCTGTTGCCTCCATCAGGGACCACTGTTAAGTATAACCCGCATGAAAGCGATTCGACAAGAGACGAGACAGGCGACGTCGACCCGCTTCGCTGTCGCTCGTTCAGTCGCGCAGTGAGGCAAGCCGCGGGGAAGTGGCGGGAGCAAGAGACCAAGGTCATGAGGCCGTTTTCTAGAAATCCAAACACCGAGCGACAGTTAGAAATCTCCATCAGTCGCTGCTGACTCTCGTCGCTGTCGCTCGTCACGTCTCTCGCTAAATCGCTTACATGTGGTTCAGCCTTTAGGGGCCGCTTTCGCACGAGAATGCTCGTGAACGCTTTCGGAAATCGTGCCGTCGAAACGTTTCGAAACTGATTGCAACGGTACCTCCACTCTGTAGCAGCGAAGTAGAAGTGGCAGAAGCGGGAAGTTGTTCGAAAAGAAAGCGCAGTAGAATATGGAAGGTTTTCGGCCGCTTTTATGCAACCAATTGAAGAAGCCACAACAGCTGCTTGTGTTGAGTCTTTCCCAACACTTTCCATGGTTGTTCCACTTGTTCAATGTGTGAAAATGTTGCTTTTTGAGAACGTAAGTAAAACAAGAGAATATGTTTTCCCACAATCTTCTGAGATCAGTGAAAACAAGGTTCCTGGACGTAGGCACACTAGCACATCACGCCCTTGCCACCTTCCTTGATCCTCGATTGAAGGACATCTGCTACAACAAGGAATAAAAAGGGAATGTAGAGTTCCTACTAAGTACATTGCTTCAGGATCTACCAGGATCAAGCGAACTCTGATTTTATGCTGAACATCCGGGTGAATTGTGATATTATGTTTAGCATTCTAATATTTTAGTAGCTTTTGACTCTATTTAATTACACATTGTTGAACTCTACTCATTATCGTCTAGTAGCGTCTCTACAATAATTTTAAGAAACATTTTGGAACAATTAAAATAATTGTTCCAAAATCTCTTCGCTCTTCTTTAGTAGCTGTCTACCTACTATTCGGAAACTATTCGAAAATCATTTGATTAGTATTCGTATTAGATTTAGTGCCACAAGTATTCGATTCGTATTCAATTCGGTTTCAAAAATCACTATACGCACACCCCTATTAACGATGTCACACACAACTTACACTGAGCGCGTAGATTTACTGGACCAGGTTTTCCGTGTTGATCAAGTCAGCATTAAGAATAAACCACATAAATGTTCGCTTCTTTGTTGTTCAGAAAGACCGCTCGGCATGCATAATAGTGCCTTCAATAAGTTGTTCGTATTCTCCAAATAAAATATGGGTACCAAACCATTAGAGCGTACGAAGTGTATCATTTGATTTTGAACGCACTTAAAACGATGCGTTACCGGGGGGTCGTCTTCACGAAACAATCACCAGACTCGGTGGACATTAAGCAATGAAGTAACCGTCACCGTAAGTTGGTTAATTAACTGAACTCTGTTGATTAATTTTGAATTGGTTTTATGGGTAACGTCGCAATTGGAGTATTCACGGGCATTAATATTAGATGCTAGACATTTTAAAAGAATTGGAGAACAGGCAATAATTTTTTAGATATTTATAGATTAGTTTTCACGACTTCTCGTCCTGAAGCGGCTGAAGTTCTTTCCATAGTGACGCTTAAAAGAGTGACGTAGTCGTCTCAGTCGGGTTGTCACTATCTCGGAGGCCAGTACTTGGTGGAGGCGCCGGCAACACAGTGTGGGTGTATAGTGACGATGTGAGTAAAATGTAAGTTACCTGCCTAAGCGTCATTGTGGGCGGGGTTTAGGGCCTTCTTTTCACGCGCAATCTTGAACAAGTACTTGTTTTTATCTTTTATTTTCTTGATATTATTGGCCATTCTATGTACAGCATAACAAAGGGATAAAAGTGAACTAGAAAAGTCTAAAAAATTGGGTCTAAAGCACATTCTGGGCAATATTTTAAGAAACAAAGCGCGAGAGAAAAATTAAGCACTTACGCCAAGTTGAGTGTAAGTCACTGGACCTTGGCACGCATCACAAAAAACTACTCGCTTCTGGCACTCCTTGTCCAGGCGATCTTGTAGGTTTTCGTTGAGAACGTCGACACCGCAGTCGAAACACTCCCTTTCGATCTTCGGACACTCATAGTTGTGTTCCTGGGACGAAAAATACACTTCTGCATAAAATGGTGATGATTATTAACCAAAAGTAAAAACAAGCTTAGATTGCGTACAAATAAAATTTCAGTACTTTTGTTTACCGTCAGAAAATAATGTATAAATTAAAATGAACCGTCAAGAAAATCAACACATTCACAAACATGTCGTTCATCTCTCAAAAAGATTTCAATTATCTTATACTTTTGCGTCATAGTCATAGGTCAGAGGGAAGGTATATGAAAAATGACCCGGATCAGTCCAATGGTTAGGTGATGTGCATTCTATAAAAGTATTTACATGGTTACTTCCCATTACTCAGAGATTCAATTATAGTGTTCGAAACGTTTTGTTCTAATCCTCATAATTTTCTGTGTATTGGTTGCCTGTATGCCAAAACCTTTTCTTAGCACATCATAATAGAATTGACCCGCATTCTTTGTCGTGTACATTATTGTACACGACAAAGATGCCAAACTACTAAGACTACAGGTTAATTTGCCATCCAAAGAGTCAGCGAGACTTCGTAGACTGGATCGGTATGTAAGAGGCTACATCTCTTATGTAGAAAACAACCGTTATTAGGAACGGTGAATATTTTGTAATGCCCAGAGATAATTTCTTTTTTTATTGCCAGAAGTTAAATTGATTTCAGTATTTGTGCATAAAATACGAACACTAATTATAATGCCAAATGCAAGTTTTATTATGTATTTGTAGCGGACCACAATAAAACAAGTTACAAGGGTTAATCCTTTCTATTGTCCTAACATATCTTGTTATAATATTTTCTTTCTCTAACGATGGCTGAAAGTTATTAATAAATTTTGAAATTACATAGAAAAAAGCCTATGGTTAGCTTCACGTAGAATTGATAGTTCACGTTTTACGTACCGGGTTTAAAATACAACATAGACCCTCACTCTGCAGTGATATGGGCAACGAAAATTATTTTTGTTACCTTAATTAAAAATACCTAGAACTTTATTAAAAATGCGTTTCTATATTCACTCCTCCCATATAAAATACACTTCTTAAAATTTGTATTATTTATTTGGTAGCTACACATTTCCAGTGGAGGTAACGCCGTGTTTAATATGTTATTTCAACAAATGAAACTCTTGGCGGCCGTTTTTGGTGGTACTACCTACCTTTAGCTTGCTTTCCAGGACGTTGTTTTTACACAGGGGGCATTTGAACACTTGCGCAATAGGTGGACTGAATCGACTGGTTGAATTGCTTTCAGCAGCAGCCTCAACAACTGGTGAGTGCTTCGACGACAATCTAGACTGCTGTAACAAACGGCAAAAGTACAAAAAAATATCTTAAAAGTATCGTTTTGCTTTGGAATACCAAGATCAAAACGTATTTTTGAAAATAAAATAAGATAAATATTTTCGCTGACAATAACCGAGTTAGTATAATTTGTTCAAAGTTTATGTTGTGCATCAAACTTTTATTACAACATTGATGCATACACGTATCAGCGACGTATCCCTTTTCATCAATACTTTTCCTGACCTACGCAATCTTGCGACGTTCGATCGCAAGTTTGCGTAGGCAAACTTCTATATATCACGAACAGCAACGAGCGAAGATAGAAGATTGTACAAATTAAAGTCGGTCTTTCAATTCTGGACCTAAGATTATGCCATTGCGCACACCACTGAACTTATGGTTTATAAAATTATTTTATTTATTTTGTAATAAAATGCGCAGCATCAGTGATCGCTACTTGACCTCTTCAGGTAAAATGGGATAGTAATGTGTTCACTCAAGTACCAGTTCAGATTATTTTATATGCATGTGTTACTTTTAATCATAGTTAGCTCAAAAATGTTAAGTGGAATTTAATAATCAATTTAGATTTTCTCAGACCAAACCTTCCAGAAAACCTTGCGGTGAATGGTATATGTTAGGGCAAGTAAACAATTATCCGCACTGTACATATTATACTAAATTATAGAAATGTAGGGGTTTAACAAGACATAATTTTTCCAGACTGTCTCTTTCCTTTTCGATGCACTTCGTCTAGCGCCACTACCTTGGGTACTCCCTCCAAGACAAATGTGTCGGTTGGTCGCCCAACCTTTTACGCGGTTCCCACACCGGTGGACGTCCGGCTCGCCCTTCGTACATGCAGATTGTACGGACACTTCTAAACGTCTAGATACACTCATAAAATCTTTTATGTTGCAGAGCACTGTCCCTGTATTGTATGATAAGCCTCCGATAAATTTCAACCCCTGATACACCTTCCAACCAAAAAAATTGAACCATTGCTCTTTTGTTTCGCTTTAGTGCACGCTGCTAGCAGAGCGGCCATGTTTATTTACAGTGAAACAGAAGCAAGACAAATTACGCTATCAAGGTTAAACTACAATAGCGTGACCACAGTAGTATCAACTCATGCACAGAATGCAGTGTGGAAAGCCTAAAGATGTGTTATAGTAAGCATAGAGTTACTATTTTGTACGCTAGAGTTCAGCTGACGCGTGTGTACTAATAAGTAGCTTTCTGCAAAATCGCGAACAATATATACAAAATAATGGTATTTATTCCGACCACATGACACTTAAGTATGGGGTTCTGCAGATTTTCATTTTAGGAACGTTACTTTTTATTATCTACTTTAACGACATAGTCAACATCGCAAACTCTACAAGTTTAATTATGTACGCCGGTGATACCAGTCTCTTTTTTTCTGGCACTACTATTGACGTCATTGAACGCGATGCAAATAATTATTTACGAACTTTAAACAGCTGGCTGGAAGCAAATAAAATGCAACTAAACACTAAGAAGACAAAATATATGCTTTTCAGGGCAAAAAATAAAAAAATTGCCAGACAACCACGCTTGAAAATAAATGACTGCACTATAGAACAAATATCTGACTGCAAGTTTTTAGGTGTATGGTTTAATGACCAACTATCTTGGACTACACAGACCATGAACATCAAGAAAGAGTTATCTAGAGCTATAGGAGCCATTTATAAAACAAGGGATATCTTGCCTACCTGGCTAAAAGTGCAACTATATTATACTTTGTTTTATCAAAAACTGTATTATTGCTTTCTAGTATGGGTACCACTTGCAAAACAAACTATAATGGCCTCATTCGTTTACAACAACGCATAATACGAATTGTAGCCAGCGCAAAATACGCTAGCAATCCTAATGATTACTTGAAAAACTTAATATCTTACCGCTCAATAGGCTATATCACTATAAACTTGGACAGCTAGTTCATGCAAAAGGAGTAAATAGCTTTGATTTAATTCCCTCAAATTTAACGGACTATAACCTAAGGGCAAAGTCAGCTTATAAACTACCACAAACTAGAACGAATTACGGCAACCAAAATATCAACTTCCAAATACCCCAGCTATTAAACGCTCTAGGCAACAACGTATTGCTTGCAGGCACCACAGGGGCTTTTAAAAAACAGCTTCGCTCCTTCTTGGTCGAACATGAGATACGTATTATGTAAATATAAATATACTAATGCTTTTTACTTTTGCCTGCATATGTTCTTATTGTTTTAAAGGTGAATTATGGGCAAAGAGTTTTTTTCCTGACCATTTCTTATTTGTCTTTTTGACTGACGACCGTAAAATATATGGTACTTTTTAATCGTGTAATGCTTTCCATACACAAGCATTACACTTATTTTTTTACACTATGTACTTTGTACTATGTAATTCATGCGTATACTCATTTTTACATAGTATACTTTATAGGCCATTTTTTTTTTTTGCTGTCTTATTTCCATTTTGTGTTTCTTATCTATCACTCCCTGACAATGTCTAATGGCGGGATGTGTGATTTATTGTGCTTCCTGGTGTTGTTTGTACGCATATGTATTTTTTTGCCTTGTATGATGTCTGGGTGTTATCACGATGTTGTGTTACTGTGGGTTTCTGCATGCGCGGATTCTTTTTTTTTTCTTTGCTTTTTTTTGTATTTGTTGTTGGATTTTGCCGTCCTTACCGGCCGTTGGCACCTTGTCAGGCAACCTGTTTGCCTTTTGTGCCAGCGGACCGTTCAAGTCGAATTTGTATTTGACTTGAAGAAATAAAATGATTGATTCATTGATTGATTGAATAAATAAGTATGGCTTTGGTATCTCTGTTTGTGCAGAAAGAATCCTTCTGTTTTCAAACCAGCACCGTGCGCTTGAAATCGGACAATGGGGATGTGCCAGAAAGCAGGTGCACGGTAAAGTCTGTCTAGCATAGGAAATAATATTTAAAAACACTTTTCATAGCCCACGTAATTTATACTTTACGTAAAAATATTTTAAACCGGTAATAAAGTTGCAAGATGGGGTAACTTTCATATAGTGGCCGGACTGCTGGCAAACCTTGAACACTTTACATTCCTTTCGATTGTCATTTTGCTTGGAATCGTCGCTCGTATTTACGCACCTGCAAGGAACAGAGGCTTGTACCTTAAATATAGCTAAGTTTAACGTCGTTTATTGACGAGAAAAATACTGTAGCTAAAGCAGTTAAGCCTTTACAATGATAATAAGTGTGCATGTAATTCGGTACGATCGAAGTAACAGAAGTGATATATGTTACTTCCCGGCGAAGAGACAAAACGCACGCGCGTTTTCCCATAGGAACGCACAGGAGCACCGCAAAAGTACACTGGGGTCTCTCTGGTTCAATTTGCATTCCGAATGTCGCATAGACACCAGCGCCAGTGTAACCTCTTGAGTACATTATTATACCGTTATGATGGTAAATGCGCGGATAAGTTTTACACTTCTCATTATAGTATTGACTCTGTGCTTCATAAAAGTTTCATGTATGATCAAACAGCGCGCTGATGAAGCAACTAGCAGTGCTGTTTTCCTTCTCCTTAGTGTTTATAAATCATCGCGAAATAACCTTTAAGGCTTCAAACCTAACTTTTAAAGCGTTCTACCAGTCGACTGGTTTCAATTATTACAATTTCATTTTCCTCAGAAAACTGTTCAAAATCATGGTCCCAGGTCTTGCCCTCGCCAGTTTCATCAACATCTATAGTCGTGTCTTAGAAATTGCCAGTATTCCAGGTGTCATAATTCAAGCACTACGTTGAATCAGTAAAAACACTTCGCCTTAATACGACAAGAGGTTTGTTTCCGCACGCATGCTTTACCTACTATGAAAATTAACCTGCTTGTTGGGTTTGTGATGCAATCGCTGCTATTGCGATTTCTAAAAAAAGTGGGGTCGGTTACTTGTCAAGCCGTATTTGTGCTGCTTTTTGTGGTATTGTACCATCTACATTATGATAAATAAACACTATTTATAATATTTGGTAAGAATGTAAAGTGAAATTTGTACCGTCTTAAAAATGGTAGTGTATTTTTAATTGGGGTGCAATAAAGTAATCCTTTTTTTTCATTCTCACAAGCACTGACGCATGTCTCATACTAAATGTGTAACTACACCTGGTGGATCAGCGAATACTTTCAAAACTTCCTAACTTTAGGGTGAGTGACATAAAAAAATTGCGGGAATGAACGATCAGCCACGGTCGACATCAGAATTATGAAAAACATACTAATTAGCAAACTAATTAAATAACATTTACTAATCTACCTTTAAATCGTGAAAATAAATATTTGGTTCCAATTGCTAAGCGTCATCGAAAACTCTAAATCAGTCAACTATTGCATGACTTGTGTCACGCGCAAATCCCGGGGGTCCGCGAAAGTTATCACTTGTGCGGCAGACACAAGGCCAGCGATCCAAAAGCGCGGATAAGAATATCATCTACATTTTCTTATGGCCGGTCTTCCGCCTGCTTCACGAGCGGTAACTTTAAAGCACCCCCGCGCTCCCACACGTGCATCCAGTCGTACTAAAACTAATTTAGTGGTTTTCTACGACACTTATCAAGTTTGTAATTGGAACCATGTGTTTATTTTAACTAAATAAAAAGTACATGAGTAAGTTTTAGGTAATTGGTTGGCTAATTTGGAATTTTTTCTATAATTACTGACGTTTATCGCAGCTGGTATTTTGTACCCAAAGAGATTTTTTTTAACCATCCTATTCTTATAAATATGAGTTTTTTTTATAGGAACACCCCGTATATCTAGAAGAAAAATCGCACCCTCAGGGTGTAGGCCTTTGTTTTGTAACCATTTTCTTTGTTTGTAAAGAAAGGTTCACATAGTGTATATGCAATCCAATTTGAACTAGATATCTTTCTTGTGATATCCCCCCTTTCTTCCCCCCGGTGAGCACTCTCAAGAAAAAAGGGTGTCAAAAGGTGTATTCTTACACCCTTTGTCCCATATAATACACCCCCAAACTTCAATTCGACATACAGCGCCCTACAGACGAACAGACGGCCCGAAATTTTACGAGGGGCTTCATAGCCGTATGGTACAACTTATTAAAATAGCTCATGTACGTTTTACTGAACACGAAAAAAATAATTCGGGTTTTCTTGGCCCTACTGTAAAAACTCGGTGTTTTCTTTATGTTGTCTTTGATACGTAGTTTAGTTATTTACAATGTTGTACCACACGGCTATCAAGACCCTGGTAAAATTTCGGGCCCTCTGTTCGACTGTAGGGCACTGTACGTCGAATTGAAATTCTGGGGTGTATTATATGGGACAAAGGGTGTAAGAATACACCTTTTGACACCCTTTTTTCTTGAGAGTGAGGAAGTCGCCAGTTTTCTTCTGGTCAAACGTAGTAGGCGTTATCCTGGCACCGGACCCTCTGGGAGACAGGGTGGCGAGTTTGGGCCGGAGCCACGAGGGAGGAAGTCCCAACTTTCCTTTGTCTGAAACCCTTGTTTTTCTTCCCTGTGCATTACTGTGCTCTCAGAACCCTTTTGCTCCATTCCTATTATTTTGATCTACTTCCATCATGCACTGCACTCCACCTCTATTAATCTTGGCCTGGATTAGAGCAGATGCCTCTCCTGTTTTTTTCTGAAAGGTATTTCACTTCCACGCTACCTCAGCGGGTGAGTCCCCCCTTTCCTTCATCCATCTGTGTTCCCTTGAGGGGTCTTGTCACCCTGCCATGGCCGTTTTAACTTCACTGCCCTACCGGCTTTTCGGTGTGTGTTTCCTTCTCCTTTTTCCTTCTTGTTTGATTTTGAACTTATCTGACTCTCCTTTAAAAGTGTTTACTAAATCGTTATATGTCCATTCTCTCTCCAGTTGTCTAAAGATTATAGTCTTAATTCGTTCTGATACTTCTTGTATTTATGAATCGTTTACGGTCAGTATACACTTTTTCGTTGAAAAATTTGTTTCTCTGGTTGCGCAGTTTCAAACTTAGTTTTAGGTAGCATATATATATCTATATCTATCTATATATATATATAGACATGTATATATTTGCATATATATGTATATATATATATATACAAAACACACACACACAGATATATATATATATATTATATGTGTGTCTCTGTGTGTGTTTTGGGAGCAATCTTGAAATAAAAGACCGCGCAAACAGCAAGCTTGGTGGGTATTTGGCTTTCGAAATATTTACCATTAACAGAGGCGAAAATTAACGAAACGTCATTTTTCGCCTCGACCATTGCAGTGGTCTTTAAAAAAAAGGGTCGTATTTCAAAGGTGCCAAACTTCGCTCAGAGTTATCAAATGGACACATGTTTTATGCTGCCTGTTGGGAATCGCATGTTTGACCACTCGCTATTTTGACATTTCTCAAAATAGTGCACAAAGACTCTTCTGTGACACTCTTAAAATCAATTTATTCCGCATAATCAATTGAAAAAGATTGCTATTTCTCAGTGTTGTACACGTTCCTCAAAAAAAGGAACGAAAGCTCGTTCCTCGTTCCTTTTGGTTTTTGGAACGCGTTCCCGTTACAAGTTACATCTGTGAAAAAGGAACTCGTTCCCGTTACAGTTTAAAAAATGGAACGTATCGTTACATATATATTACATTTGTATTTTGCTAATTACTATATTTAGTTTATTTAAGCAGACTTCTTTTACTTATACCATTAGTAGTCAACGTACGAGTTTGTATGTCGTTATGGAAGGGAAACAGCTAGGAGGAGAAAACAAGCAGAAGCAGGGTTTCATTTGTTGATATATTCAAGTTAAAAATCTCAGCTTTTAACCATATCCATGTTTGTAGTGGACGATTCAGACGACCCGAATGTACTTTCAACCAACATTGTACGAGCGTTTTACAGCAACCTCACACGTTTCAATTGAGTAAAGTCCCTTGTTCGAACTTAACAACAGTTGCTTCTCGATGTTGCTGTCCGCAAGACGAGCAAGTCGAGGAGAGGGCAGGGCTTTTAGAAGGTCAGTCTTAAAAGCTACAAATACTTCGTAAGGTTGGCTTTGTTGTTCATTTTGAAGGTGGGGGGAGGGGGGGGGGGGGGGGGAGGGCAAGGGAAGAAACAAAGTTTTTTTTTGTTTTGTTTTGTATCTTTTAAGTGACCAATGCTTGGGATACAAGTGTGCGTTCGATGTCTGGCAGTCTGTGATCTTGTTGTAACTGTAGGTCTCGTTATGGAAGTTCACAAGCGGCTGTATTCGGCAGTAGATTTCTGGGTGTATGAGGACTCGTGGAATCAAAAAAAAAGTATCTGAGCTTGAAACAACCCTCTTTCTTTTTCTTTTCCTACGACTAAAAGCCTCGCTTTTTGTACCGCAGTTTCGGGCACTTAAAAAAGGATAAATGTCCACCAGCTCTCCTGCACCCGAAAGTGTTAGCAAGCGAGGACCACACAAAATAATCCACAAGATTAGTAGCCAAAAACGTAACGAGATCCTGCATTTCGTAAAGATACTGTTTTCGTACTTTCAAAATTTCCCTGTTCGAAACAAAATAAAAATTACCCCACTGGACGAAAAAAAGGAACGCCGTTACTCTTTCCGTTCCAGTAAAAATGTAACGTGTTCCCGTTCCAGTTCCAGCAATTCAAAATGAAACGGTGGCGTTCCTTCGCTCTTCCTAAAAGGAACGCGTTCCAGGAACGCCGTTCCTTGGAAGGCCGTTCCGTACAACACTGCTATTTTTCATGTATTAAAAAAAGTCACCGGAAAACTTTAATGTGTGGCCCTTTCAGGGTGTGTTAGTGACCTTAACCTCAACGTAAAGTTAAACTTAGTTCATTTTATTGAATGCAAGTTTAATACATATACTTTGTATATATATATATAACTTAAAAAAATGTACTCCAAAACTGTTATCAAACTGAGATGAAAACATATATAGTATATATAAATAGGCACCTGAGCTTTTTTGGTCCTTGCATCCACTAAATTTCTTAACATTTAAATACGCGCACAAACAAGCAGAGACTTACCTCATTCTTTGTCTTCTGAATGTTTGGTTGTAAAAAACGTACGTCGTGCTTGTGCCTTGCCCCAATATGGTACTGAAAAATAATAAATTGTAATTATAACGCGATCTACTGACGCATCTGTCGCGCTGTCTACCTTGATTATGTGTGTAAATAATAGAAAACCGTACAGGAAATGCTTATTAACAATGAGCATATGATATCATCTAGATGCTGAAAATATATCAACATCATATTGCCACGCGCGTAGCTGGCCAAGTAGGCAGCGCGCGCGTGGCCTAATGGTTATTGTGGAATTAGGGAAAGGACTCGTTGGTTTTTAGAATAACAGAACATGGTTTATTGATATTGAAAACTAATTTAAGTAAAGTTAGAGAAGGCACGTCCTCCTTCGACTGTCGTTGCAACAAGAAGGGAGAAGTCGCCCCCACCAAGCGTTGGTCCAAGAGGGGGGCTCGTCGTTTATAACCCCACGATGGGGCGCGCTCTCCCCGCGGCTCTCCGTCCCTCTCCCCGGTTTCCCGGAAAGGGGCTGGTGCCTCGGTTTCTGCTCGTCTTCGAAGTCGCTCTTCCTTCCCTCTTCCCGTCTCGGGCATCTCCACGTTTTCTTATTTTTATTTTACAACACATTCCCCCCCAAAATGACAGCGTCATTTTTTTGTCCCGTTATGCGATCTCTAGAGGGTACAATAACTGTATGGGTCTTTTGAGCGTTGACCCTCCAGGCATCTTGAGCAGGCATGATCGTACTTTGCCGTCTCTTCCCGGAAACACCTTCTGGATCCTAGCGAGTCTCCACTGCTGTCGGGGCCGCAGGCCGTCACGGAGAAGAACCAGATCACCCTCTTCCAGCAGTTTTCCCTGGCGTTGTTTCTGGCTTTGCACGTTCCTCAGTTCCGCCAGGTACTCTTGGCTCCATCGGCGCCAGAAGGCTTCCGTTATCATCTGTCGGTGGGTCCAAAACCTGCGGAGGTCGGTGTGAACACCTTCGACATCTTTCTTCCCCATGCTTGGCAGCGTCGTCAGTCGTCTGCCCGTCAAAAAGAAAGACGGACAGAGGGGCTCGGGCTCTCCGGGTTCGTCGTAGACGTGAGTAAGCGGTCTCGAGTTCAATACCGCCTCGATCTCGGTCAGTGTTGTTGCCAACTCGTCGAAATTTAAACATCTGGCACCAATCGCTTTCTTTAGTGAGAGCTTCGTTGATCCGACGAGGCGCTCGTAGAACCCGCCCCACCATGGGGCGCGCTCGACGATGAATTTCCACTCGATTCGTGCGTTGGTAACGTAACCAAGGACCTCGGGATCACGAATAGCGCTCCATAGTTGTTGGAGGTCTCTGTTGGCTTTCTTGAATGAGAGTGCGTTATCGCTGTAAATGGTCCGAGGAACACCTCTTCGTGAGATGAAGCGTCTCAGCGCCATCAAAAATGACTCGGTGGACATATCTCTGACGAGCTCCAAGTGAATCGCTCTCGTTACGGCACAAGTGAACAAAGTCACATAGGACTTGTGCAGTCCGTTTTCTCCCTTTACCAGCAGTGGTCCTGCAAAGTCGACGCCAGTGACCTCGAAGGGTTGAGCCTGTGTCACTCGGTCTCGTGGAAGCGGAGCGGTCACTTCCGTCGCCGGACGGGCATTGAAGCGCTGGCACGTCACGCATCCCTTGATTATCTTCTTCACCAATTGCCGTGCTCGCACCACCCAGTACCTCTCTCTAAGCTGGGCAAGGGTGTCCCGAACTCCCCCGTGTAGCACCTGACGATGCGACTGTCGGACAAGCAATTCTCCCAAGCGATGTCTGCCTGTCAATACGCTGGGGTGTCGTTCAGAGTACGGCTTGTCACTCTGTTGAAGCCTACCGGTGACACGGAGAATGCCGTCATCGTCAATGTGCACTGGGATGTCTCCTAGAGGCGAGTCCGATGGAAGACGCTCCCTTTTTTGTGTACTCTCGATTTCCCGTTGAAGCCCTTCCCGCTGTACTTGACGTATCCAGTATTTTTCGGCTTGATCCAGTTCGATGGCTGTAAGTTGACCGGTGTTACTGTTTACATGCCGTAGCTTGCCGACATAGCGCAGAATCCACGCTGTCACCCGAAAGAGGCGTGCTGCATCGCTGTAGCGTTCAATGTTCAGTACTGAAGGAACTGCAGTGGAGCTCGGTATTTGGAGCACCTCAATCGTCCTTCTCTCCACCAACGCTGTCGGCGGAGAGTCATCCACTAGTGGGGAGTGTGGCCAAGAGCTCTCGTGCATCTTGATCCACGGAGCTCCCTCCCACCAAAGAGAACTGTCAACAAGCTGATCAGCACCGATCCCTCTGGTCATGAGATCTGCCGGGTTTTCCAGTCCGGGGCAGTGTCTCCACGCAGAGATGTCGGTGAGGCGTTGAATCTCAGTCACCCGGTTCTGCACGAACTGTTTCCACTGAGATGGCTGCCCTGTGATCCAATGCAGAGCTATCGTTGAGTCCGTCCAGAAGTGTGACTCGTCTGGCGTTTGTTTCAAGCTCTGCATGACGTAGCTGTGCAACCTGGCCGCCAACAGACATGCCATCAACTCCAGTCGCGGTAGTGTCAGTTGCTTGACTGGAGCGATTCGTGACTTGCTCATCAGGATGGTCGATGTAGTACTTCCATCCGCGTCTGTGACACAGATGTAAGCCACTGCTCCGTACCCGATCGGGCTGGCGTCGGCAAATACGTGCAGGGCAGTTTTCTCCGCACTTCCAGTCGTGCCGGCTTGGTAGTAGCGCTGCACCCGAATGTTTTGCAGATCGTTCAGTTCACTACACCATTGCATCCATTTCCCGTCCAAGTCCTGTGGCAGTTTTTCATCCCATTCCACATGTCGTTGCCATAGCTGCTGGAATAGAGCTTTTGCCCTAACAGTGAATGGTGACAACCATCCGAGGGGGTCGTACAGGCGAGCCGTTGTTTTGAGAAGGGATCTCTTCGTGCTCATTCCAGAATCTGGTTGCGTAGTCGTCGATGGAGTGAACGTCAGGTGATCAGTGTGGGGGCTCCACGTCAGTCCCAACACCTTGAGGACGCCCGTGAGATATCCTAGGTGCTTGGCCTCACAACTGTCATTCACGAAGCGTTCGTTCATACTCTGGTTATTTGAGGCCCACTTGTGGAGTGTCATGGAAGCAGTCCCGAAGATGGCGTTTGCGTCGTTGTAAAGCCTCAGAGCTTCCTCCTCGTTTTCTGCTCCCGTCAGGAGGTCGTCGACGTACAGGCAATCCGCAAGAAGCGTTGCTGTATCTGGGTAGTCTTCCTCCATGCTCTTCAGATGATGCCTGAGGGTTGCCACGAGCAGGAATGGGCTGGCTGTCGTTCCGAAGGGAACTCTCGTCATGCGCCAAGCTTGTACCTGGGGTTGCGGTCCATTCGCGTCTGGCGTCGTCTGGTACCACAGGAAGCGCAATGCGTCCCGGTCCTCTTCCTGTATTACAATCTGCAGGAATGCTTTTTCGATATCTGCCGCCAACGCGATCCTGTGGCTTCTGAAGTTGAGCAGCAAACCAACGAGGTCAGCGGTCAAGTTAGGTCCGCTTTCAAGGTTTTGGTTTAGTGACCTCGACCTGTTGCCATGCGATGAAGCGTCAAACACGACGCGCAACCTCGTCGTACTGCTTGACTCTCGGAGCACCGCTTGATGTGGCATGTAGTAGGTCGGCTTCTGCTCGTCGACGTCGTTCCTCGTTACCGGCTCTGCCATTCCTTCCGAACAGTACTGTCTCATTACAGCGTCGTACTCGCGAAGCAGGTCCGGTGTTTTTTGGAGACGGTTCGTCAGCTGGGTCAGTCGTTTTTCTGCTATTTCCCTGTTGTCGTCGAGATTCACGTTTGATTTCCAGGGAAGAGCAACTTCGTATCGGGAACCAACTCGTTTGATGGTCTCCTCGAAGGAGTCTAGCTGCCGTTGTTTTGCCGAGTCAACTCCTTCGTCTTCAGTCACTCCGATTGACTCCAGTGTCCAAAACCGCTCTAAGCAGTCTGTTGCTTCAGCCGTTGCCACTGATGTCTTGAGGGCGATCGTTTGCGTACATTGTACGTCGTGAACTGTTCCTCTCATGGGACCCTGGATACTCCATCCGAATGCAGTCTCGACCGCTCTTAGCTTCTCTTTTAGTGGTCTGGATTTCCCCGTCACAAGGTCCCAGTAGTGCTCTGAGCCGATGAGAAGGTCAATATCACCACGTTGCTCATTTTTAGTCGAGTCGGCCATCTTCAATTGCCCGAGTAGTTTCTTCAGGTTGGGTTCTGGGATAGGGATCTTCTGATCGCATATCACGTCCGTTTCAAGAACTTCGAGCTTATGTATCTTGCCGTTTTGTGCCGTTAATGAAACCAGTACCCTGCAAAATACTCGTTCTGATTGGTGTCCGCCGAATACTCCGACGGTCAGTGTCTCCTGTCCCAAGATCTTGCACTCGAGACGTTCGGACGCGTTCTTTGTAATGAACGAACGTTGGCTCCCTCCGTCGAAGAGAGCTCGGACGAACATCCCGTTGGTTTCTCCTGCACACCAGATTGTTGCAGTCTGGAGAAGGACAGCTGGCCCGGCAGCTTCGCCTGTGGCGGTTTCCAGATTCACTGGGACGCTCGTTATCGCATTTTGGTTTGCTTCTACCTTGGTTGACGTGTAGCCTGGGTCGCACATCGTTGTCGCATGCCGTCTCGAACACTTCGTGCATTGCATGCTGCTTCTGCATTCATTCGAGCGGTGATTAGGTTTCGTGCAACGGAAGCATCGTCTCTCCAAGCGCAGCAGTCTTTTCTTCTCTTCGATTGAAATGTCAGCAGAGCAGGCAGCTGTCGCGTGGTTTTTTTCTTTGCAGAAGAAACAGCTATCAGGTTTCGTTGTTTGATGCAGTAATGCTGCGGAGGATTGATAGCGTTCTCTGGGACTTCCCTTTTTCTCGTTTTTCTTCTGACTGAATCCACGCGGCTGTTGCCTCGTGTCCATAGCTTGTTGTGCAGCTAGGTTCTCGCGGCTCTGGACTTCAACTCTCAAAAAGGCAAGCAGTCGTGAGAATAGTGTCACGATACCTCGTTCAGTGGTGCTTGTCTCCGTCGGTCGTTCCTGAGAGTCCTCGGATCCGGTGGACATCCCTCCGGCTGAAGCGTCCAGCGTCGACACGTCCGATGCTTGCTCGTTCACGATCGTTCTGTTAAAATCCAGCAGGATTTCTTTTGGCAGCGTACGCTGAACCACTGGAAACAAAAGAGCACCGAAGGTCTGATGCTTCTGTCCGAGTGCCTCCAGTCCTCGGAGATGGGAGATGATGGTGTCGTAGAGTCGACGGAGACCCCGGACGTCGTCGGCGTCTCGCACTGGCTGTAGATCTAGGAGCTTCCGCATGTGTGTCTGAACGAGGACGTCCTCATTTCCGAAGCGTTTCTTCAGCAGAAGCACGGCGTCCTCGTAGCACCGTGATGTGGGAGGCAAACCCCTGATGGCACTTGACGCCTCGCCGGTCACCGCAGCCCTGAGGTACCCGAACTTGTCCAAAGTCGTTAGCTGGTCGTTGGTGTGTATTACTTGCTCGAACTGCTCCCAGAACTCTTGCCAAGAGATGCTTTTGCCGTCGAACTTGTGTAGCTCGAGCTTCGGGAGCTTCACTCGGCAGGCAGTCGTTGTCGCGTTTCCGTTGTTGCTCATCGGCGATGAATCCAAATTTCGTGGTGCACTTGCTCGGACTTCCTTCAACTCTTCTTGAAGTGTTGCAATACAGGTGACGACCCGATCATTGTATTCAATTGTTCGCACAAAGTTTTGCTCGGCTTCTCCTTCCGGCACTAGTGGCTCGATGGCGGCGTCCACCTCGTTCAGTTGTGCTTGGAGGGCGCCAAGCCTTGCGGAGGAGATGCTGAGGTTCTTTTCGTTTTTCTCGTTGCTTTCGATGTACGAATCAATTTCAGAAAGGAGTTTGGTCACCTGTGTTCGCAGTGCAGTTCGTTTCCCCTTGAGTCGTTCCATGATCCGGAGCTCGTTTCCTCAGCCGTTGGCGAATCCAAGATGGCTCCTGCCTTCTTCTCGTTGGCGAATCCAAGATGGCTATCCAAGATGGCTCCTGCCTTCTTCTCGTTCGTCGTTTTCACTTTTCAGTCGTTGGATGTTCTGCGTTGAAGTCATGTCCTAATTTCCTTCATCCCGGGTTTCGGCACCAACTTTTTAACAGTGTGGAATTAGGGAAAGGACTCGTTGGTTTTTAGAATAACAGAACATGGTTTATTGATATTGAAAACTAATTTAAGTAAAGTTAGAGAAGGCACGTCCTCCTTCGACTGTCGTTGCAACAAGAAGGGAGAAGTCGCCCCCACCAAGCGTTGGTCCAAGAGGGGGGCTCGTCGTTTATAACCCCACGATGGGGCGCGCTCTCCCCGCGGCTCTCCGTCCCTCTCCCCGGTTTCCCGGAAAGGGGCTGGTGCCTCGGTTTCTGCTCGTCTTCGAAGTCGCTCTTCCTTCCCTCTTCCCGTCTCGGGCATCTCCACGTTTTCTTATTTTTATTTTACAACAGTTATCGCGCCTGCCTCCCACGCGAAAAGCCAGAGTTCGATTCCTGGGAGCGCCGCATCTTTTGTTATTCTTGCAATTTAGTTTTCTGGTAGATTCGAGAATAATTTGGCGTATTCGAAGTCCGAATGTTCTACGCATCGAACATTCTACGCCGATTATTCCAATAGCTCACGCATGTACATAAAGGGCGCCGCGTGGCGAACCGGACTGTGTTTCGCCCCAGCGTTCGACTCTGCTGCTACGCCGACTTCGACGCCTGCGACGCTCCGCTATTATCTTTTGTACCCTTTTATTTTTGGCACAAGTTCGCCTCCATGAAACGTTCATTTCTTCCTGTTTATTTATTCATTTGTCATTCGTGACCATATGGTGTAGTTATAGTTGAATTCGCAAAAGAGAAGCGAAGATATAAGCACACTTTCCCATCGTGCAGTGAAGTGGTTTAATTTTTGCGTTTCGTTTTTGTCAGTTGGCCTGTTGTAGGTGGCGGTACCTTCATGCGTCTTTGGCGAATATGTCGACGGCACACAGCCGAGGTAGTGACAATGCCACTGAAATTTCTCCGCTACTCTTTTATGGCTCATTGTGGGTCAAGCTTGAGGTACTCTTTTTGCTCGCACTTTTTAAATCGGGAGAAAAATGAAAACACTGATCGTATAATATCTCAAAAATAATGAGCGTGTCACAAGTTATTTAATTTGGTCTGGCCTCTAATATTAATTACAATCATGACTGCAAATGCAAAATGGCCCAAAAAAAGCAAGACTCAAAATTTTTTCATCAACGTATTTTAGTTAATTTGCGTTCCGATCATGATCCTTTCCTTCGCCCTTAATATCCGCAATGAAGGCGGCATCCACATACCTGTAACGCTACATGTTTTTGTAAAAAGAATTGTTTTCATTATAAAACAAAAGCACCCTGCATACGTGCAGGGTGCGTTAACCAAACTCTTTCGTTTCACATGTCTATCTGACTCGTCAACACCGCGAATATGTTTTTCTTCGTATGGCCCCTTTGCAGGCGACTTAAAAATAACGAATCTGAATCACAAAGTATGCATATGCTTATTTTCTAGAAAGAAAAAACGTATTTTTGTTTTCTTTTTATAAATACTGAAATTTAACAAATTTTTGGAATACCATCTGGGGGAGATATTTATCCCTAAATCTAAATTGGCTGCCGTGAAAACGGCCAATAAACATAACACCAAAGGCAACATTAAAATTTTCCTTCTCTCTCTGTTGGTACGACGTCACATGTTACATAACTAGCAAGTCGGCCAGGCAAACAAAAAAAAAAACAATTTTTGCATTTTTTTTTTGCTGGTGTGGTTTTAATTAGCATTCATTTCACGCCATTAAAATTGTTGTAACTTGACGGGAACAAGCTGTAACACCCCCGTATCACAGCACAATACATGTTTTCATTGTTGCCAGTAAATCGTCCTATAGCTTCTCAGATCAAATTTGGTACCTCAATAACTTTGCGGAAGAAAACATTAATGTGACTTGTAATTTTATGTTTCTAGTGCAGACGTGTCCATTATGGTGTTAAAACAATTTTTGAGGCAAATCAGTGAATATCAAAATTTCAGTTGTGATAAATAAAAAATCTTCAGCCGGACACTGGTTCTGTGGTATCAGTTTTCATTAATTTAGTGTAGTTGTTTTGCAGAAGTTCCTAGGTTTCTTGCGCCAAATATTAAAGACATGTAGGTATTGAAATTCCCTACCTCTATCACTCCCAGCTTCATTTCCTCCTCACAGATGGGGCAAAGTCCCAGCAGGTGTATTGCCACATAGTTGGTGAAGGGAGGAGCAGCCTTAAGTTGAAAAAATATGTTATATATATATATATATATATATAGAGAGAGAGAGAGAGAGAGAGAAATTACGTTTTATCCAGGAGTTTTGCTTATGTTGGATAAATTACAAGTAAAAATCATACACGTTTTAATCGATATAACAAAAAAAGTGTGCAAAGTGTTGTAAAAATGGCACAGACAATAAAAGCTACATGCAACGAATATTACGCTTAGAAAATGCAATCAATATAGAGGGTGTTACACGAAAGGTGGACGAATTCGATATTGTAAAAACTACGCATCGCACCAAAAAAAAAGGCTTGTATCATTTTCGTTGTTGGCCAGGGGCGTATTGAGGAAAATTATTAAAGTTCAAGATAATTAAATTGTCAATTATTTTAGCGTAATTAATTTCTTGAAATATTGAGTTTAAGGGCATGGTTTCAATTGGAATATTGCTGAGCATCATCCAAAAACACTAAATCAACAAGTTGCAGAACGATAGAAGGAATTTGCGGTAGTCTACGGCTTCCTGAAAAACCGCACAACTTTGATTGGTTTTTAATTTTTGGTTTGCAATCGGAGCTCTTCTCGGCGCCGACGGCACCGACCCCCGTGGAAAAATAGTGCAGCTAACCTCTGCTGCGTTGCGCAAGAAGAGCGGAGCAGAGGTTGGTTGCACTATTTCTCCACGAGGTACGGCGTCGTTGGTGCCGAGAAGTCCTACGATTGGAAACCGAAACTTAAAAACCACTCTAAGTTGTGAGGTTTTTCCAGACATGTACAAATTACGTGATCAGAAATGATAGTTAAGTTACTGAGTATCGACGTCAAAAGTAATTGGAGTAGAGCAGAAATTACGCATTTGTAATAGTAATTGAGTAAACTACTAACTACTGTGGAAAAGTAGCAAGTACTTTGAAGTTACTTTCGAAGTTACTTTTTATATATTTTTGGTAGCGAAATGAGCAGCAGTTTTGATCCGCGAAAACCCTTGCGAGCCTAAAATAAATGCAGTCATTTTATGGCTGGCGTTTTCACCAAAGTAGTTTATTCGCTCGCAGAAGCAATTGACTTTCAAAGTTCTTGATAGAAAAGTTTTCCCCTTTTCCTCCTAAAGACGTCCGCAGCCAAGCTAAAAAGACGTTCCACCGTTGCGCTGGATAGAGCGGCTGCGTTGAATTTGAAAAGCAGGCTGTGCAGGGTCGGGTAAGCGACTGTCGGCATCTTTGGTGTCCATGACGAAACATATGTGAGGTTTACCTCGGCCTGGAGGATATTTTTTAACAAACTCCCCTCTTTTTTTTATTTTTTCTGCGGCAAATTTAGATTGTTATGACTGGCCCCTGTTTATTTCCACGACGTTTGAATAGTCCGCTGAGCGAGTGCACCTGACCGTCAAGGGTTCAAAACTCGCGCCACGACGATGAGATCATCCGGACGACTGCGCCTCTCGTTGCAGTGCTAGTGCTACGTTACTGAAAACAAATTGCATTGGTTTAACAGAAGATGAAACGATGTACACTCACGCCGCTGACGCCGGGTTTAACAAAAGGATCCCAAGGGAGTCTCGCAATCCTCGCCGGTGACTACGGTATCCTGACGCGCCTGAAGAGAAGGTTGCCCTGGCGTGGAAGGTCGGAAGGACGCGAGGGATTACGTGAGCAAGCATCGTCGCTCGTGTAGTTGCATCTGGAAGCGGGAACGTGCTCCCATGAACGGATTATCCGTGTCTGCATTTGTGCGCGGGAGAGTCCGGCCTAGCGAGGGAGTATGCGCTGACGACGAGGCAACCATGGGAAAGGGCGCCCAGCTGCGAGGTCATTCCACTGGCGTCTACCGTGGAACCCCCCAACCGCTTGAGGCAGAACTCACTGAAGGCAGACTTCGTCTTTATTATTGACGTAGGTCAATACCCGACCAAAGCTTGTTAAACATCTCTTCCTGCTTTCATGCGTGCCGGTGTTATGTTCTGGCCGCTCGTCGCCACCTTGGCCCAAAGACGCCTATGGCCACGTTTACATGAATGCGACTGCAGCGCATCAGATCCAGTTAACAAATCGAATCGGTCCATGTAAACAACTCGGATCGGATTGGATCGGATCCGATTCGATTTGCTGGGGCGGGGTGGTTTGAGAAGGTCAATCCGAATCGAGACTCTCCATGTATGCGCTAGCGGATCGGATCGAGTGCTCGAGCGAGGGATTACGGGAGCCAGAGATGGCCAGTATTTCAAGTACAAGTATTTGAAGTACGTATTTAAAATATTTTGTTTATTTTGCATTTTTATTTAATTACAAATTGGGTAATGTATTTAATCTGTATATTTAAATACTAAAACGTGGGTATTTCAAAGACAATTGTAATTAAATACAATTTTGTGGGCAAAAATACATCCCTCAAATGTAGTGTCCCTGTCCAGAGCAGGCAGAAAGCTACGTTTTGCACCGAATGCAGTGCCTCTCAATCAAGCACGAGCGTTTAATGACTTTGTGATTACGGTGCTTGAATTGGATTGGGGTTTTATGGCGCAAGGGCTGCTGAGGCCAATGAGCGCCAAAGAAGGAAACTATTGAATTGAGGGTAAGCGTGAAGAAAGGACTCTAGTGCTCAGAGTTAAAAATAAAGAAATGAGACATAAAACTGGATTAAATCACAAACAACAATGGGCATGAGTGAGAAACTTTAAAATTCACAATTGATGTAGAAAACCAATAGCATCTAAAAACTTAAAAACCTGCTTGTAAGCCACGAATGGTTCATCACCCAACAACAACATTTGGTGTAAGGGACTGTGATTTCTGTACAACTGTGCAAAGTGAGATTTGCGTTCCCGTTCGTAGAAAGGGCACTTAATTCAAAAATGGAGAACACTTAGAGGTTTATCGCATTGTTCACACAATGGGGCATCCTCCTTACGGAGCAGGTAGCCATGAGTCAGATGCGTGTGGCCAATGCGCAAACGACACAGTATTACTTCATAAAACCGTTCTCGGTGTCGGGCACTTGCCCATTCACCCAGGTTTGGCTTAATGAGATGCAGCTTGTTGTAGATCTCTTCATTCCACTCGGCTTGCCATTGGGCTTGTATGCAAGACCTTACAAAGAGCGGTAGTCCACGTAGGGGATCCCTTTTATGTCTACCTCCCTGCTGACGCATGTGCGAGCAGCACGGTCGGCCGCCTCATTGCCTGGGATACCAACATGGCTGGGAATCCAGCAAAAGACAATGGTGCAATGCTTTCTAGCTGCCGCAATAACTTTCTTCTGAACTTCAACAACAAGGGAGTTCCTTGCAGGCAGCAGGGAAGAGATGGCTCGCAAGACACTAAGAGAGTCCGTGAAAACTACTGCCAGCGGTATCCTGTGGCGGGCTATGTGTTCCGTATCCAGCAGGAGGCCATACAGCTCCGCTGTCAAATGGTAGCGGCAGTGTTCATCCGCCTTACAACTTCCACTGAAGAGCCAATGACAGAGCAGCCAACAAAGGTCTCAGATCTTGTTCCATTAGTATAGAACTTTGTATGATCTCCATACAATTGAGCCAGTTCATAAAATTCTTGCAGAAGCACTGCACTTGGAGTGTTTTTCTTGTTATACTGTGCAAGATACAGGTTGCAGTGTATGTCAGGGTGCTCCCAAGGTGCTATCATGCCAGGAAATTCTAGTACCTGGGATGCCACATCAAATCCGACAGACTCGGCCAATGTCTTCAGTCGCATACTGAACAGAGGGATCACGCTAGGTTTTGCAAGAAAGAGTCGTTCCGAGCGTGTTTCTTGAACAACTTCTCGAGTAGGGTGCTGGAGGACAGGTAGGATGCGAAGAGAGTACATCATGCCCAATGTGAATCTAAGTCTCTCGAGGCAGCACTCCTTAGCCTCTGCATATAGACTGGGGACAGGGGATGTACGAAACGCACCTGTAGCCAACCGAAGCCCAAGATGATGAATGGGATCCAACATCTTGAGAACAGACTGTCTGGCAGACACATAAACAAAGCAGCCATAGTCTAGTCGGGAGCATACCAAAAAAGATAGATCCGCAGGTGGCACAATCGATCTGAGCCCTAAGACCGGTGCGAGAGAACTTTAAGGATATTGAGAGATTTGTGAGCTCTCAATTTCAGGCTTTTTACATGAGCAATAAAATTCAGTTTACTATCAAACGTAAGACCCAAAAATTTGTGCTGAGGTTGGACACTAACATTACTATTGTAGATTGTTAGGGATAGTTCAAGAAGGATTCCGCGTTTGCGGCTGAAGCAAACACATGCAGTCTTCTCAGGAGAGAACTTAAACCCATTACTGTCAGCCCACTTAGTAAGCTTGTTGATGCCTAGCTGAACCCTGCGTTCACAGACTGAGAGGTTACAGGAGGAAACTGAAATTTGTAAATCATCGACGTAAAGAGAGTACTGAGCCGACGGAGGGATTACTGAAGCAGAGGAGTTCATTTTAACTATAAACAAGGTGCCAATTAGCACTCCCCCCAGTGGCACTCCATTTTCCTGCAGAAATTCACGGGAGAGTGTGTTTCCCAGCTGGACTCGAAAGGTGCGCTTGTCTAAATAGCTCTGAATTGCACGAAGCATGCGACCACGTAGTCCGAGGTCAAACAGGTCCCTCAAAATGCCAAAGCGCCAAGGCGTGTCGTACGCTTTCTTGAGATCGAAGAACACGGAGAGGCAGTGCTGCCCTTGCGCAAAGGCCTCACGCACAACTGTTTCGAGACGGACCAGGTGGTCGACTGTAGACCTTGATGAACGATAACCGCACTGAAATTTGTCGAGTACCTTACCATGCTCCAAATAGTACATTAGTCTACGATTAATCATTCGCTCCAGTGTCTTACAGAGACAGGTGATAGGAGCAATGGGCCTATAACTGGAAGCACAAGAAGCATCCCTACCAGCCTTCCAAAGTGGAAGGACATATGTTAGCTTCCAAGATGAAGAGAAATAGCCCTCCTGCCATATGCGGTTATAAAGATATAAAATGACATCGAGTGTAGAAGGA